TTGTTGGGACCCTTGCTGTTTGTTACATACGTAAATAACTTGAATGTGAATGTAGAAGTATAATTAGTAAATGTTCAGATGATGTGAAAATTGGTGGTGTTGTTAATAGTAAGGAGGATGGACTGAGGCTACAATCTGATATTGATCAGCTGGTAAATTGGGCAGACCAACAGTAGATGGAATTTAATCCCGATAAGTGTGAGTTAATGCATTTTTGGGAGATCTAATAAGGGAAGGATATACACAATGAACAGTAGGTCCACTAGGGAGCACTGAGGAACAAAGGGACCTTGGTGTACAAGTCCATAGATCCCTGAGGGTGTCAGCACAGGTAGACAGGATGGTGAAGCCAACATACGGAAGGTTTGCCTTCATTAGCTGGGGCATAGAACATCGGAACAAGGACATCTTGTTGCAACTTCTGTGGGGATGGAATACTGTATGCAGTTCTGGTCACAACACTACCAGAAGGAGAAGGACATGATTTCACCAGAAAGAGTGCAGAGGAGATTCACCAGGATGTTGTCTGGCATGAAAAGTCTGTTATGAGGAGAGACTGAATGGGTTGGGTTTGTTTTTCTTAGAGCAGAGGAGGCTGAAGGAGCGTATCTGATTGAGGAATATAAAATTGAGAGGCACAGACAGCATAGATCATGAGAATCTTTTCCCCATGGCAGATATGTCTAAGACCAGTGGGCACAAATTTAAGGTAAGAAGTAGGTGATTTACAGAGGATTTGAGCAAAAAGATTTTCAGCCAGAGCATGGTATAAACATGGACTGTACTGCCTGAGTGGTGGAGACAGGTATTCTCAACAGCTAAGCAGAATTTGGATGAACATTAAAATACCTGGTCACAGGAAGCTACGGACCCAAAATGCAGGTAAATCATCTGCAAACTTACTAACCATCCCTCCCATGTTCACATCCAAATCATTTAAATAAATGATGCGAAGCAGTAGACCCAGCACTGATCCTTGTGGCACATCACTGGTCAAAAGCCACCAGTCTGAAAAGCAACTCTCCAGTGCCACTCTGTCTTCTACCTTTTGAGACAGTTCTCCCTCGATTCTGGGAGATCTAACCTTGCTAACTAGTCTACCATGAGGAACCTTGTCAAACTCCTTACTGAAGTCCATATAGATCACCTTCACTGCTTTGCCCTCATTAATCCTCTTCGATATTTCTTCAAAAAACTAAGTTAAGCTAGTGAGACATATTTCCCATGCACAAAGCCATGCTGACCATCCCTAATCGGTCCTTGCTTTTCCAAATACATGTAAATCCTGGCCCTCAGGATTCCTTCCAACAATTTGTTCACCACCAGTGTCAGGCTCACCAATCTATAGTTCCTCGGCTTTTCCTTACTATCTTTCTTAAATAGTGGCACCGCATTAGCCAACCTGCAATCTTCCAGCACTAACCTGTGACTATCAGTGATAAAAATATCTTAGCAAGGGGCCAAGTAATCACTTCCTGAGCTTCCCAGAGAGTTCTAGGGTATACCTGATCAGATCCTGGGCATTTATTCACCATTGTGTTTTAAGACGTCCAGCACCATCTCTTCTGTAATGTGTACTTTTTTCAAGATGTTATTATTTATTTCCCCATGTTCTCTATCTTCAATATCCTTCTCTACAGTAAACACTGATGCAAAATACTCGTTCAGTATCCCCCGCCCCTTCTCCTGTGGTTCCACAAATAGGTGACCTTGCTGATTTTTAAGTGGCCCTACTCTCTCCCTAGTTACCCTTTTGTCCTTAATGTATTTGTAGAATCCCTTTGGATTCTCCTTAACCCTATTTACCAAAGCTATCTCATGTCCCCTTTTTACCCTTCTGATTTCCCTCTTAAGTATACACCTCCTGCCTTTATACTCTTCTAGGGAATCACTCGATTTCTGCTGTTTATATGCTTCCTTCTTGTTCTTGACCAAAACCTCCATTTCTCTAGTCATCCAGCATTCCCTACACCTACCAACTTTGCCCTTCAACTATAACAGGAACATACTGTCTCTGGACTTTTGTTATCTCATTTTTGAAGGTTTCTCATTTTCCAGCTGCCCCCAATCAAATTTTGAAAGTTCTTGCCTAATTCCATCAAAATTGGCCTTCCTCCAATTTAGAACATTAACTTTTAAATCCGGTCTATCCTTTCCATCACTATTTTAAAACTAACAGAATCATGATCACTGACACCACAGTCATCTGCCCTGAGATAGTAAGAACTGCCTATGCTGTGGTCAGAGATCACAGTGTGGAGCAGGAGCAGCACAGCAGGGCAGGCAGCATCAGAGGAGCAAGGAAGTTGACGTTTTGGGGAGGGGGAAGGGGGAAGGGAGCTCTGAAATAAATAGAGGAGGGGTGAGCTGCGGAAGGTAGGTAGGATGGCGATAGGTCTGTGAGGTGGGAGAGAAGATGGACAGGTTGCGTCAGCGGGACTGAGAGGGAGGGTTGGTCATTGGATGTGGCTGGGGATGGGGAGATTTTGAAACTGGTAAAGTCCACATTGAGACCATTGGGTTGTAGGCTCCCAAGGCAGAATGAGGTGCTGCTCCTCCAGTTTCCAGGTGGCATCATTGTGACACTGGAGGAGGCCCAGGATGGACCACCTCCAGTGTCACAATGACTCTACAAAGCAAGCACCTGCGCTTTGTTCGCAACAAATGACAACACCTTCCGGTCGTGAACCATTTCAACTCCCCCTCCCACTCCCTGAGCGACATGTCCATCCTGGACCTCCTCCAGTGTCAGTATTTTTCTGAATACAAGGTAAACAGGAAATAAAGAAACATACTATATCTAAAAGTAAAACAATTATGTGCCCTTTAGAATGACAGGGAATGGCTCATTGCTAGTGGTTAGAACTCTGGCAATAAAGAGTCAGCTTAAGCTGACAACAAAAATTACTCCCATAGGGAAGGCTGCAAATGAAGAATTGAGGTCAGATTTGTTATTTGAGAATCTCATATGGACAAACTCTCATTTCCCATATTCCTTCAGTATCTTGCTGCTCCAGCTCATTCACAAAATAAATTAAAAGGCATATTCTCATTAACTGACAAAAAAAGAAATTGCAGGAAAAGCTCAGCAGGTCTGGCAGGATTTGTGGAAAGAATCAGTTAACATTTTGGGTCAAGTGACCCTTCCTCAGAACTGATGGTAGCCAGGAAGATGTCAGTGTATAGGCAGAAGGGGGTAAAGAGTAAATGATAGGTGGGGATAGAGCCCAAAGAAAGAGAAGAGCAGTTGAACAAAGGAGTGGGGATAATGATTGGGCCAGAAGGATGAACAGCTGTTAATGGGGACTGTTAGTGGCTAATAGTGGGTGGTGTAACAGCAGACTATGTGATAACAAGGCCAGGTTGTGGGGTTAGGGGTAAGGACAGGGGAGAGCTCAGGTCCTAAAGTTACTGAACTCTATCTGGAGTCCAGAAAGCTGCAGCGTCCCCAGGCAGAAAATGAAGTGCTGTTCTTTCAGCCTGCACTGAGTTTCATTGGAGCACTGCAGGAAGCCTGAGATAGAGATGTTGGCCAGGGAACACAGTGGAGTAATAAAGTGCAGCTAGTAGCTCAGGGTCTTTTATTGTGAACAGAATGCATGTCTACACTTTTTCTCCAACATAGAGACTGCAGCAAATGCAGTAGACTAGATTGTGTGAAGTGCAGGTAAAGCGCTGCTTCACTGGATGGTATGTTTGGGCCCTTGGACACTGAGGAAGTAAACAGACAGGTGTTACACCTGTGGTTGCAACCACACGTGTCTGTGAGGTTGGGAATGAAAGAAGAGTGGACCAGGGTGTCCCAGAGGGAACAGTCCCTGTGGCAGGCTGACAAGGGAGGGAAGGAGAATGTGTGTCTGGTAGTGGCATCTCGCTGAAAATGGTGGCTAATGATCCTCTGGATGTGGATGCTGGTGGGATGATAGGTGAAGACAAGGGGGACCATATCACTGCTGGGGAAGGGAAGAGGGGGGGGGGGGAATGAGGGCTGAAGTGCTAGAGATGGGTCAGAGCCGGCAGAGGGCCCTGTGCTGGGGAATGCTCGGTTGAAGAAGGTGGACATTTCGAAGCCTCCCTTGTCAAAGTTGGCATCATCAGAACAAATGCGACAGAGACGGAAGAACTCGGAAAATGGACTAGTCTTTACATGAAGCAGGGCGCAAGGAATTGTAGTCCAGGTAATTGTGGGCATTGGTGGGTTTATAGTAGATATTGGTGACCAGTCTATCCCCAGAAATGGAAACAGATGTCAAAGAAGGGAGGAGTCAGATGGATCAGGTGAAGGTGAGAGCAGGGTGAAAATTGGAAGCAAAATCAAGAAAATTTTCCAATTCCACATGAGAAAGGGAGGCAGCACTGATGATATCACTATACCGGGGGAAAGAGTTATGGGTGGGGACAAAGAGACATGCATAACAACAGGGGCCTATGTACGTACCCATGGCCACCCCTCCGAAGAAAATGAGGGGAGTTAAAAGAAAAGTTGTTCAAGGTGAGGATGAGCTCGGCCAGGCGGAGGAGGCTGATGGTGGATGGAGACAGTTCAGGCCTTTGTTCCAGGAAGACACAGAGCCCCGAGACCATTCTGGTGGGGGATGGATATGTAAAGAGATTGCACATGCATGGTAAAGAGGAGACAGCTGGAGCCTGCAAACTGGAATCGCAGTTCTAAGTGGGCAGAGACCAGAGACTGCATCAGGGAAGAAAAGACTGAGTTAAGGTAGGAAGAGAGAGTGCTGTGGGGCAGGAGCAGACAGAAACAATAGGTCTGCCAGGCAGTGCTGTTTGTGAATTTTGGTACGGTGGTAGAATCGAGCTGTGTGGGGCTGGGGTCAATCAGCTTGGAGGCAGTGGTGAGGGAGATCACTAGATGAAATGAAGTTGACAACTGTAGCTGGGTTAACTGCATTGTCATGGTGAGGGGAAACAGCATGCAAGAAAAGTAAGCTACAGAGGTGCATTAAGACTAAATTGGTAAACATAACCGCCTACATTCTCTACAGGGAATAATCATGCTTTATGTGACATTAAAATTAACCATTTTACGTTCAGGGCACAAATGCTCTAACATGAAAGTAAATGACAAAAAACATTATTGACTGTTGGCCTTTAATAGAGACTTAAATTTTATAACACACTGATAAAATGCAAATTTGTTGAAGCTGTGCTTTGATGTTTTTATTATTAAAATAGAAGGTGTTATCATACACATTGCTTAAATAATTTATTTGCATTGGAGGTGATCAGAACATTATTTTCAAAATGGTGGATTACCAGAGAATGTGAACCACAGCACCAGCCATCTTCTCCACTAAAATATGGAGTAATCTTCCATTTATAATAGATACATGTAAGCAATAGCTCAAGTCTACTCCAAACAAATAATTTATATAATTATTTACATACCACTTTATTATTTGATATTTCAGAAAAGATTTCCATTGCTAAAGTTTGAATCATTGATTTAAACAGTCCGAGTCCTCCTGCTGTGCAAGAATCATTGTAAACATCCAACCAATCTGATGGATCAGAGAACTGCCAGTGCCCATCAGTTTTGAAAAGTTCCATTGCTAGGTTTGGGTATCCTGCAAACATGTTTAGTGCACACAATGTCAAATAGTAAACCAACAGCTCAAACATGGCACAGTATAAAGCTAGCAACCCCAATGCCTAATCAATAAACAATTCTGTTCTGTTACCTTTTAAGCAAGTTCCACTTTAAATACATAGCACTGAAAACAGCAAAAAATGTACAAGTTCACAACACTTTCAAATCCAAGCTCTTCAGGACTGTCTCAACTGTGGAATGTTAACTGTTCAGTTGGTCCCAAGCTTCATTGTTGTATAGTACCAGCTATATCTCCCTTCCCCACAACCACACATTGCTCAAAGGTTTGACCGAAAACTGAACATTGCAACACTTGTATGAACTATGGTTTGAAGTTCACTATTTGCACTCTAATAATAGGATAAGTTTTATTGAGCAATATTATTACAAAAAGGTACCTTTTACTTCCAGCCCAGCAGTTAGATAGTTTTAAATGCTCAACAAAGTAAGAAAATAAATATTAAGTTCTGTAGTTTAACTACAATTTTATGTTGCAGTTTAAACATGTAATACATTTTGAATTTACAGAAATCGAGGGCTTTTATTTCAGATTCTTGCCTCCTTCCATCTAATTTGCATTGTAGTAATACCATTACTGTGTCCCATAGGCAAGTTTTTAAACATTTCAAAATTTCTGATGAGAAAACAGTAAGACAGGACTTACATTAGTGGGTTTTGTAATTTGTCCATATAGCAGATTGTATGTAACTGAGGCAGGCATGTAAAGTAAAAGAGATGTCTAGCTGGAGAATATTCTGGATTTCATTATTTGGCAATGTAAAGATCAAAAAATGTACTTAACCTTTCGCTCACTGAGGTAACAGCTGTTAGAAAAGCAGAGATTTATGACCTTTCTTTAGGATGCTTAAAACAAGTTGGTCTTCTTTGACAAAACATGAAAGATGAAAAACATGCCTACAGTTACAATAAAGATCAAATGAAAGCATTACTTTAGAAAGCAATTTTATTGCCTCTGTTTATGCTCACCTGCGTCAATGCAGAATTCAGTTGGGCCAACTGACATTTCATCACCTCTCCTAGGAACAAGCCTATCTTTCCAAATAATTTATTGAAACATTTTCTTAAAATTCCTTCAGTTTGTATTCCATACTGTGTATCATTTACAACTGTCTATTTTTGACACTTGCAGAACAGCAGTTTTATTTGATTTCCAGTTCAAATGCCTTATTTCAAGTGAGATAGTTTCATTCTGTCTTCCACCAATACACTGTCTGTCCCAAATTGCTCAATGCACTGCTTGATAGTTGCTATGACACCCATCAGCCGTCGGTCCATGGCCTCCAAATGTGCATCTGTCAAAACTGGGGTTATGGGGTCATGTGACATGGCAGTCCGCATAGTAGTACTCAGAACTCCATTCTTTAGGTAGTTTAACCTATTCCAGGTGGATACTCTAATACTATAAAAAGAAAGTTTGTATAGAAACTAGGTCAAAACAAGACAAAGTGAAAACTCCAATATCTTTATAGTAAGCAATAAGCATAAGGCTGCAGAAATATGAGTTCAACTGAACTGTAACATGCCTATAACAAAAGCATCACTGGAAATTCACTAACTGGAATTGTTTGTTCTATAAAGATATTGCAAACAATAAATGTTTTGTACATGGCATATAAGCAGTAAACTTCAATGCAGGAACAAAAAAATAACTGATTTTCAAAATTTGTTCATAATACATGGGAACAACTGGCTAGGCCAGTATTTATTTCACACCCCTTTAACTGCCCTCGAAGTGGTGGTGAGCAGCCTTCTGGAATTGCAGACCTTAGGGTGTAGGGATGCCCACAGTGCTGTTAGGAAAGGAATTCCCAGCGTTTTACCCAGTGACAGGGATGGTAATACAGTTCCGAGTCAGGATGATGAAGAGAAACTTGCAGGTGATAGTATTCCCATTCATCTGCTACCATTGCCTATCTTGGTGGTAGAGATCAGGGGTTTGGATGGTGCCCAAAGAGCCTTGCTGAGTTATAGCAGTGCATCTTGAAGATGGTACACATCATGGCTGCTGTGTGTCCACAATGGAGGTAATGTTGGAGGTGGTAGATGGGGGTGCAAATCAGACAGTTCTTTGTCCTGGATGGTGGAGCTTTGAGTGTTGCTGAAGCTGCACCCTTTCAGGCAAGTGGAGAGTATTCTATTACACATGCATTCTAGCTAGTGGAGAAACATTAGGAAGTGGGTGGTGGGTTCCTAGCCACAATACTTACATGGCTCATCCAATTCTATTTCTCCCCAGGATACTGGCCGTGGTGAGTCATTAGATTATGATTGGAGTCTCTCAGTGGAGATGGTCATTCCCTGGCAATTGTATGATGTAATGTTACCTGTTACTTAGCAGTCTGAGCAGGAACATTGTCAAAACTGTTCCAAACCAACAAAGGGTATTTTAGTATTTGAGGATTCATGCATGGTGGTGGAAGATGGTTGTGCCTAGGACACTACCCTGAGGAAATCCTGCTGAGATGACTGACCGACAAAACCACAGCCATCTTGATTCTGTATGAGGCATGACTCCAACCAGCAGCCAGGTTACTCTTGGTGTCAAGGGCAGTCGTTCTCACCTCACCTCTGAAGCTCAGCTCTTTCATCCATGTTTGGACCAAGGTGGTAGTGAGGTCAGGAGCCATATGGTCCTGGTGGAACCCAAACTGAGTATGTGTCCAAGGTATTCTTTTTCATCTGTTTACTATGATGGTTCCAGGAATGAGACATTACAGTTATAAGAAAAGCTTAGAGAAACTGGTATTGCTTTCCTTGGAAAGGAGATTTGCTATAAGTTTTCAAAATCATGACTGTCTCCAAGACTGTGGACAGGGAGAAACTTCCCACTCATAAACGGATAGAGAACCAGAGGGCACAATTTTGATGTTTTGCAAAAGAAAAAATACAAGATAAGGAAAAAAAACTCATCACACAGCAAGTAGATACTGAATGAATTTCACTGCCTGCACGTGTGGTGTAGGCAGGTTCAGTTGAGCCATTCAAGAGGGTACTGGATGATTATTTAAATAGAAATGTGTAGGGTTATAAAGGTAAAGGCTCAGAGAGCTTATGCAGACCTAAAAGGTCAAATGGTCTCCTTTAACACCATAACAATTCTGAGATTCTATAAAGTGCCATTTGATAGCACTGTCAACACCCTCTTCCATCACTCTACCGATGGTTGAGGGTTGAGTGTTGAGTGTAGACTGATAGAACAATCCAGTTCAGTCCATTTCCATCCTATTTGAATACAAAATGTGACATGGCATTCTTTTTCACATAAATGCCACTGTTGTAGCATTACTGGAACAGTTTGACTTGGGCTGCAGCTAATTTTGGAACATAAGTCTGTAGTACTACTGCTGAAATATTATCAGGGACAATAGGCTTTTCAGTATCCTGTGCCTTCAGTCACTTCTTGATATCACATGGATCATCCACTCGCTGAAGAGAGATGCAAATGCTTCAGCCTACTCTTGTGTGTGCTGGGCTTCCCTATCATTAAGGATGGGAATATCTGTGCAGACTGTACCTCCTATTCATTATTTAATTGCCCACCATCTTTCACAACTGGATGCAACAGGTCTGCAGAACCTAGATCTGATTGGTCAGTTGTGGGACCATTTTGCCTGGACCACTGCATGTTTTCATTTGAGATGCAAATTGTCCTGTGGTGTAGTTTCATCAGGCTGATGCCTCATTTTTAGATATGCCTGATGCTGCTCTTAGCATGCCCATCTATACTTTTTGACTAACTATGTTGATCTACCAGCTTTATAGTAATGGTAAGAAAAATGCTGGGCAATGATGCTATAGTTTGTGAATGAATGCAATTGTGCTGCTGTTGCTGAGGACCCTCTGTCTCTCACACATGCTCAAAGTTGAGTTACTAGAGCTAGTCGAATTCTGTCCCATTTAGCACAGGAGGACTGCCACATGGCACATTGAAGGTACCCTCCATTGTGAAGATGAAACTTGATCTCCATTATGAATGTGTGATGGTCATGCTTACCACTACAGTCATAGAGGTGTGTAGGTTGAGGATACAGTCAAGAAGGAATTTTTCCTCTTGTTGGTTCTCTCACCACGTGCTACAATCCCCATTTAATAGCTATGTCCTTTAGGAAATGATCCGCTTGTTCAGTAGTCATGTGACGGAGTCACATGTAGGCCTGACCTGGTAAAGATGGGAGATTTCCTTCCCTGTAGACCATTAGTGAATTAGGTAAGTTTTCATGAGAGTTGACAATGGTTTCATGCCATTAAATTAGGTCTTAATTTCAAAGTCATGGCCTGTAAGTTTTGTTCTACTGTTAAGATGATCATAGTAAATCTTAGGCATTAATTCCACTTTCTTGCTCATTTGCCATATTTCAATTATGAGAGAGAGATCAAAAATCTGCCTATCTCAACCCTCAAATATATTCAATGATGAAACATGTACAATCCTCTGGGGTAGAGGATTCCAAAGATTCACAACCACGTGAGTAAAGAAACTTCTCATCTCATGTTTTAAATGATCGGCTCCCTATCCTGAAAGTGTGTCCCTTGTTCTTGATTACCCAGTCACAGGAAATAACTGCAATTATGTACCCATCAACCATCTTCAATCTTGAATGTTTCAACGAGATCACATCTCATTCTAATAAATTTCAGGAATATAGGCTCAGTTTAGGCAGTTTCTTTTATGGTCCAGCCCTCTCATTGTGTGGACAAATCCAATGAATCTTCATTGTACTAAGCTTATCCTCCTGTCAATATGAAGCTAAAATGGCACACAGCATTCTAGATGTGGTCTCACCAAAGCCACATAAAATTGATGGAATATTTTGGTATTCTTGCACTCCAGTTCACTTGCAATGAAGGCTTGGATACTGTTTGCTGTATCTGCATGCTAACTAACATATGTTCCTTGTATGAGTGCACTCAAGTCTCTCTGAACATCAACATTTATAGGTTTCACACTTTTACAACCCTCAAGAAAACCGATTAATAACAAGAAATTTGAATATTTCACCTGAAAGAATGACATTTACTGAAGATATTTACTATATATACTGACTGAACATAAGAAATTTATACTTGAAACCAAAGACAAAATATTTCCCCCTTACTTATTTTTAGCACAACAAAAAAAAAAGCACACAAAAGATATACCTTACAAAGTAGACATTCAAGTCTGCCAGAATCAGTCCACAATAATTCTTAGTTCCTGAGGGCTTACTTCTCATTTTCCTTTCACAATTTGGTTGTCTGTAACTCCAGAACTGCCCTTCAAGCTGAAATAAATGGAGATCCTCCCTCTAACGCAAGTTAGATGATTTTTATTCAGCATGAATTTGGCGTTTTGAATCAAAATATTCCACATGTATTTCATCATGATGCTGTTTTAAAGACTTTTACTCTCTAACTACCTTCTCTCCCTCGTAGACTGTCTATAACATTGCATTATTTTCAGAAAATCTGCAACCTCATTTCAAAGCCACTTACCAAGATGAATCACATAAGCATTGTAACCAGGTAGAAATGCTGATCAGCTAGCCATGAGACCTCAACTACTTTTATTAATTCATGGGTAGTGAGAATGTCATTGGCTGTGCCAGCAATTATTGCCCATCCCTGGTTGTTTTTGAGATGGTGGTAGAGAGCTGCCTTTTGGAACTGCTGCAGTCTATTTGATGTTGGTAGACCCACAATGTCATTAAGGGAGGGAGTTTAAGGATTTTGACCCAGCCTTCTGTCCTATCCTGGAATCAAATGCACAGTTCAAAGTACCCCTTCACAACCTGACAATTTAAACGTATTCCTGGCACTTGGAAGACTCACAGTATGTCTCTTGGTATTTACAAAAGCAAAAGTGTGAATACTTTGCATGTTCTCACTACTGATAAGTCCTTGCTTTAAGTTGTCATGCTTAACACCATCCCATTTTAATGTCACTTTTTTAAAAACTGCCTTGCTTCCTCCTCCTCCCCCAGTCACTATCTATTGGCAGAAACTTTTGTCTTCTTTTCAGGTCATGAATGTCAACTGTATCTCAGCGGATACAGAGTCATATAGCATGGAAACAGAACGTTCAGTCCAAGCTGACCAGGTTTTTTTTAAACTGAACTAGTCCCATTTACCCATATTTGGCCCATATCACCCAAAACCTTTCCTATTCATGTACCTAGCCAAATGTCTTCTAAATATTGTCAAGGAACTCAAGCTCCAAACACTCGAGGATACTGATGCGCTTCAGGATACTTCTTCCCCTTCCCTTCCCTCTGACTCCATCTCACCTCTTGCCATTTATTCACCACACCCTATGCCTCCTCCCCACTTGATGCTGAACAATCTGTACTCGGCGAAAGACTTGGCTTTATGCTTCCACTTCAATGAATTATGGGCATGACACGACGCTGAACTACTTCCACC